AGGTTTGTGGGTCGAGGATGCAGAAAAATGGGAAAAATCCGGGACCCGCTCGGTTCCGGAAGCCGCTCGTAAAACTGCACGGAGGCGTTTCATTTACGAGAAGAAGCGTTTCACGGGGGAACAAAAAAAGGAAGGGAGTTTCTGTGCCGAGAGAGAGAGAGAGAGAGAAAAAGCGCGGAACGATGATTCATCGATGTCATCCTTGTCCGCTTTTATCATCTCTCGCGTGTCCTTAATCGATGAACCGAAATTCGACGATTCGTTTCAAGCTAGCGCCTATTATATTATATTATTTTCCATCCTCTACGAACGAGAGATAATCGGAGATAAAGGGGGAATTGTTCGACCGTGTCGCTCCTTTTTTCCTTTTCTTTTTGCTCGAGCAAGTATCGAACGTGGCGTCGTCGAGCTGCGACCGGTTTTAAAGAGTCGGTGGTATTCGCGATGCGCGAGAATCGAAGAGAGGATCGTCGCATCGAGGTGTCGAGGAAAAGCGTGGGGAGCTGTGCCGTGTTGGCTAGCGCGAATCACGGGCGGAAAAAACCAGCGTGCAAACTGGCTAGTCGATTGTCCACGCTTCGCGACAATTAGCGCGTGACGAAACCCTCGCTTCTTCGACGTCACGTCTTCCACGGGATTCCAACGAGATACGATTCGTACTCGTTCTTTTTCTTCCAAACTTGACAAACGGCCCTCGATAACCGATCTGCCAAAATTTAAACGCGAATTTCGAAAGAATTACGTATTCCAACACCCAGGGTACGACAATTAGTTGGTTCGTGGAGCACGATTGCTTTGCTGCGAAATTCGTGAGAGAGTCTGCTCTCTAATGGTCAAGCGCACAGTTAATGGTGTACACAAGTGGTCCGCAAGTGGAGATACGTAAAAACGTTGTTGCGCAGGCGCGAACATTGGATTCGAGAAACGTCCGAAACAAACGGTGGGCGAAAGAGGCGAGGCGAGGGGAGGGGAGAGAGGAAAAGAGAAGAGAAGAAAAGCCAACAATGGAACGAGACGCGAGGATGTGTGTCAGTCAGCACGCGAGAAGTCCTCGGCGGCGCGTATTATCCCCAGCTGACAATTATCAACGGGACGACGAGAAATAGAAAGAGGAGAGGAGGAGGAAGACGCGGTGTGCATCCATTCTCCGGGTGGCGAAGCGTGGCGCACCGTGTACACCGGTTTGTCGTACGGCGAGCACGTGGCGGCAAGAGCGAGACGCAAAATGGACCAAGTATCCAGGAAGTGGGGACCTGGATTAAAAGCGAACGAGGGCAACGTCTCGGCGACAGAGCCATCTCGGACCTTGAACGTGGTGGAAGTTGGACGCCACTGGTTCGCCACCACGTTGGTCTCCTCGCTTCGCGGTTTCCTAACGGGTTCCTGGCTGCCCTTCGTCCCACCCGATCCTACTACGCTCGCCGGTCGGTTGGCCGCGTTCGAAACTCGAGCCAAGATCTGGAAAAACCGGAGGAAAATCTTTCGAGGTCGCCTCTCGGAGAGAAAACGGCGCCCATCCCGTCTTACATCGCTCTCTTCCTCTCTCGTTTCAGATGGGGAGCGTGCGGGGAGGAGCTCTGATCTGTCTGCTCCTCGTCGCTGAGGGGCTGAGGGAGTCGCGATGCGGGCCGAGATACTCGTTCGACGCGGGGACGAAGACGTCCGAATTGTTCAAGACGAGGGGGGAGAGGTTGAGGGCGGCGCAGGACGAGCCGATCATGGCCACCCCGAGCCCGCCGCGCCACGAGACCAGGGCCGATTTCTCGTTTCGGGACGGGCGGAGGGCGGGCCACTCGGCGACGAGGGACGAGGAGGACGAGTCGTCGAGGGATGGATTCGAGACGTCCACCTTCAATCCGGACGTGCTGAACAAGTTTTTGGAGGAGTACGCGAGCAAGATCAAGGGTAGCACCGAGAAGTACCAGAGGTATCCGTTCAGGATCGTCAAACCTTCCGAGCCGCTCGCCCTCGAGGTGGACGAGCAGACCACCGTTCGATCGTCGATCATCGACCACGATGATCAAAATACCAAGTACGAAGAGGAGCCGATCAATTCCACGTCCACCGAGGATGGAGTAAGATCGTCGTCTCTTTTGACATCTCTCTCTCTCTCTCTCTCTCTCGTTTTTTCTTCCTTCCTCGATTCGAATATTTTATCGACGGCTAACGATCTAACGATTTCAGTTGGGCGCGGTTCTAAACGACACGATAAAGAGGAACAAGTATTACGGGGCGAACACGTACGACGATAGAAACGGTTGGGTCACGTTGGAGGCGATACCGTGGTCGAAGAGCAAGATTTCTAAATGGCAAGCGACTCCGAGCACGCAACGGCCGTGGCCGGAAGTGAAGCCGTGGGATAAACCGAGCAAACCTTGGACCTCCGATTATTCCATCAGGCCCATCTACGAGAACAACAAACCATGGTACATTAATTTCTATCTTTACATTCTATCTTTTTTTCGTAATCGCGTAAAAGTAATTAATTAAATATCATTATTTATATTTCGTTATATGATTTATAAAATTTAAAATAGTTGTATAAAATTAAAAATTTTGAAATTATTAATAATAAATTCTGTAGCAATTTATCTTGAAATTTGAAATTAGATTATAACATAGGTCTAAGAAGCGTACAAATTGCCCGTCGATTTCAAGTTGAAACGTGAAACGAAATCCGATAATCGGTGTTTCTTCTCCCCCCTCCAGGTACGAGAAGCCGAAGCCGAGCTGGCCGGAAAACAGTCAGAACGACAAACCGTGGCAAAAGCCCGCCAATCGACCTTACTACACGGAGAAACCCGAGGAGACCCAGGCTCAGAAGTGGCCACCGGAGAGGCCCTCTTGGAACAAATACACGGAGCGTCCCACCGTCAACACCGATATAATTACCGACAATCGGCCCGCCAATTTCCCCAGCAATTGGAACAGGCCGCAACCGACGAAACCGAGCTATCAATACTTGGACAGATATCCGGATAAATATCAGGGGGAAGAGGGGAACGATTGGCACAATTTTCCAACGAGACTCGAGGATCGTCCTCCACCGAGGCCGACCACCGACAGACCGACGGCCTTCTCCCATTATCAATACGTGAACAATCATCCGCAGAGTTATCCCGGGAACGGGGACGGCCAATGGGTGCTGCTCTCGACGAACAGAGGCTATTCCAAGTCCAGGCAGAGGTCGATAAAGATAGACTCGATGGGCCAAGTGGGAAACGTTACGAGGGGCGTGGGCAAAAAGGAGGAAGAAGCTGATCCGGCAGTGGCCGTGATGACGTCGAAGAGACAGGTTAGGCTAGATGATCAAAGAAGTTTGTACGATATATAGAGGGGAGGAGCGAGTTAAAAGAAGAGAATTTTTAAGTAAAATTCCATTTTGGAATTGATTGTTTCCACAACAGGTGAGATTTGTCGAAAAACAAAAGAATTTAAGAATGTAAGAATAGAAGAAAGGCTCGTAGCGAGGCGTAAGTATTGAACGAATGGTGAAAAGTATCCAGATTTCATTTGTCGTAAATTCAGAAAAAAAAAAACAAAAGAGAGGAAAAGAATAATTGTTATTATCACTTTGATCGAAGGATATGGAAAAATAAGGGGGGGGAAAAATTGGCAGTCGTTTAATGAGATATCGTTTATCTAGGTTAGATTGAAGAACGTCGAAGAAATAGGTTATGTTAGATGATCAAAGAAGCTTGTAAAAAAAAGAGAATTTTTAGTAAAATTCCGCTTTGGAATTGGTTCTTTTCACAACTGGTGGGATTTATCGAAAAGCGAAAGAATTAGAGGCGTAAGTATTGCATAAACAAAAGAAAAGAAAAAAGAAGAATAATTATTATCACTTTGATCTGAGAAGGATATGGAAAAATAATAGGGGAGAAAATTGGCAGTCGCTTGATGAGATATCGTTTACCTAGGTTAGGTTGACGGTGTTACCGTCGATCAACGGCACGAATACGACCACTTCGCACGGGGGCCTTCTGGAAGTGGAAAAAACGTTCAAAAGCGTGGACCAGAGTCAAAAGGAGTACGAGATGGAAAGGCAGCCGTTGCTATCGACCATTCTGAAAAAGAGACCTATCAGGAACACATTGGGAAATAAGGCGTCCAGCTCTGCCGTTCTGGCTGCTGTCAGTGCCGGTTAGCGTTCAGTAATTCTTTCGTTGTATTCTTCGATACAAAGAAAATTGTTGAAAAGTAAAAATTTAATAATTAGGAAAAGATTCGAATTGGAAGTTAAAACTCGTGTGCTTCTCTACAGGAATACTACCGGCAACAATGGCAATGATGATACCGATGATTCTTGGTCGTCGAAAGAGGGATCTAATTTCCGGATCGGATTTCCTCGATCATGATGAAACTATGATTGAAAAACTATTCCCGGAAAACAAAGTACTCGATAATTCGTAGAAACGGAAATTACGAAAGGAAAAATTTAGAAAAAAAAAAAAAAAATAAGGCACAAGTTTTGAAATATAAAAACGAAATTAGCAAGTTTAAGAAGCTGATGGTGTACAGGACAAATCTGTATAGTTTTAAGTATCTATTCTCTTATTTACATATATATCGATCGATACATACGGATTCGTTTCGTTTGACAACGAATTTAATTGTTATTAACTCTTTCGTCGAAAAACAAATGTGTTCTGCAGATAGGAAAAATAGATTTTTATTACAAGTTTCTTTATATATATTTATATATACATGTCAGGATAATACGTAGACATTTATCTTATTTATTATTTATTTATTTATTTTTATATATATATATATATGTGTGTGTATTTATATTTTACAATTTTCGATGCTCGTCTGAATACTCAATAAAAGGCATAAATACCGATACGAATGATACGATCGAAGAACAAAAGAATCGCTTGAAAAAATAAAGGAATAGAATTTTTCGCTGCTGAGTTTTTCAAAACCTTTCTCTTTTCCCATCTTTCCAACTCGAAATTTTCTGGTTTTCGAAAAAAACGATCGTAGAATGCATCTTTTCAGCACTCCGTGCGAGAAATTCTATTTATTATTAAAGCTTCTTATTCCTGTCCAATTTCTTCGTCCAATCCCGATGATTTAACTTCGAACAAATAGCTTGCATATGTTAAAATTCTAAACTCTATAAAAATTACGTAAGAATATTTATAAGTTTAAAGAAAAAAAAAAAAACGTAAGAGAAAATCTAGATCTTCATCGTTGTTATAGCGCTAACAGAAGATGAGTTGTCTGGAGCTAAAATAACTTCATCATTTTCACCAGAAAAGGGGAATATTCGTTCCTAAGCTTGAAAACAAATGCTATTTTTCTCGGCGAAAATCGTCGTCGGAAGGGAATCGTTCTTTATCGCTTAGAAACAAATATTTCTTCCTGAAAAAAAAAAAAAAAAGAAAAGAAAGGAAGAAAGAGAAAAAAGTGGAAACGGTAAAGAAGAAAGAAAAAAAAGGAAACGACGAAGATATTTCAGGCTCGATCGGGAAGATTCAAGACGCGATTTCCTTTTTTTTTTCCTTTTTTCTTTCTTCGAAGCAAAGTCCTCGAGGAATACAAGGTGGTACGTGCCGCGAGCTTAGCTGACGCTACGAATCGTCGCTCGACGAGTCCAGCCGTCTCCACCGAGGAGAGGGCTCTCCTCACTCCTCCCCGTTGATCCTCTTCTGCACGTGGCCGAGATATCTGGCGAAACCCTCGCTCGCGTGTTTAAGAAGCGTGAGACCGAGCCGGAACTTGATCTCGGCGATCTTCTTCACGAAATTGAAGAGATTGAAACCGTTCTGCTCGGCTGGCTTCTTCGTGGTCGGATCGATCGTGACGCTCTCGACGGTGCTCTGCCTTTCGCTCGTACCTGCCTTCGCCTCCCCCTCGGAATCGAAATTTTCCAACGAAGAGGAGGAGGAGGAGGAAGAGGAGGAGGAGGAGAAGGAGGAGGACGAGGAGGAGGAGGATTCGATCCTCGTCGAAGAAACGACGGTGCTCGAGTCGCGTTTCTCGAGATCCTCCTCCATCCACCCCTCCTCCCCCCCTTCTTCTTCTTCTTCTCCCTCCTCTCCTCCTCGTAATCCCCCTCCGCGGGCAGGGCAGAGTCGATGATGTCGAGGATCTCGTTGCTCAACTCCTCCTCCCTCCTCCCCTCCTCCAGCTCCCGTTTCGAGGGAATTATTTGAATCACGGAATCGTCGTCCCTTTTATCCCTTCCAGACCTCGCGGACCTCCTGATCCTTAGGGATCTGGGCCCGTGCTCCACAGCGACCGCGGTTGGGGTTATCTCCACCTCCTCGTAGCCCTCGTCGACGGGCCTCGCCGTCTGCACCTGGCCGTAACTTTGCGGGAAGTTGAAATTCTCGTACCTCGTCTGGCCCCCGCTGCTCTCCGTCCCCTCCCCCGCCCCCTCCCCCCCGTAACCAATTTTCCCCAATTTTCCAACGTTGGACGTGGACGGTACCCTCTCCTCGTAAGGCTTGGGATACTCGTTGGGAACGCTTCCTACGACGAACTGCCGATTCACCGACCCGGATCCGACCACGTACTCGCGGTGCCTCGTCCCCTCGTTGTAGTTGGGGGTGGTGGAGGGGTCCGGGTAATAAGGATAATCCGGGTACTTGTGCTTCGTGTTCTCAGGTGAGCGGTAGACGGGCGAGGAGGGGGAGGAGTAACGTTGATGATAATCGTTCCTCTTGGCGGCGTGGTGGGGGTCGAAGGCCCCGGCGTCATAACGCTGATAGGCGTAGTAATTGTTGTCGTCGTACGCTTGGTGGCCCTTGGCCACCTCGTCCGTGGTCATCCCTTGGAGAACCTTGGACAACACCTCCTCCTCGCTCTGCCCGTAATTGCCCCCGTACTCCTCGAAATTGTACTTGTACTTCGGCTCGACCTCGTAGTTCCTCCTCGTTACGGTGCCCCCGAACGGGTAGAGGAAGTAGGAGGCGAGGCCGAGGCCGAGGCCCACCAGAGACATCACACCGAAGCTGGGCATCACCTCCCGGCTGAGAAAGTTGTATATCTGGCTGCTGATCCCAGCTGTCGCTGGCGGCGCTGGCTTCTTCTTCGTCTTCTGCCCCACCTTCGTCTCGGGCGCTATCTTCGACTCCTGTTCTATTCCGTTCTCCTCGGGAATCGAGGAGGTCGCGAGCTCTGCCTCCTCGGTTGCGGCTGGTGTCGACGAGCTTGGAACCACGCTCGTGGTCGTACTCGTGGAAGTGATCGGTTTCCTCCTTCTGTTCTTGTTCTTCTTTCTCTTCGGCCTCTTGGTGGTGGTGGTGGTGGTGGTGGTCGAGGAAGAAGAGGAAGAAGTGGTAGTGGTGGACGGTGTCGAGGAGGAGGACGGTTGGTCCACGTTGATCTTGGTTAGTTCAGGATTGAAATCGAACTTCATCAGATCTATCTTGGTGTCGTGCGCCAAACCCTCCTCCTTCTCCACCTTCTCGATCTTCAACACGGGGGCGTTCACCTTGATCGGCTCTATCTCGATCTTCGTCTCGTCCACGGGTTTCCTCAGCTGCACCTTCAACACGTTGTTCACCTTCGTGCCGACTGCCGGTCTCAGCTTCGATGCCTCCGGGTTGTCGTCGAGAGAAGTCGTCGGTTTCGAGGTCGTCGAAGCGACCATGTCCTCGCCACTCGAAGTCGAAGTCTTCTGAGTAGCGGTGGTGGTGGTCTTTTGATTGTCCATCAGGATCGACGCTTTGATCTTGGTGACGAACATAGGCTTCTCGGTGCTCTTCGGGACGGTGATCATCTGGACGGGTCTGAACGTCACCTTCTCTATCTTACCGACCGAGACCGTCTCGTTTTTACCGATATCAGGTTTCACGGTGATCCGATTCCTGCTCGGATGCTTCGGCCTGTTCTGCTGATTGTTGGACGGCCTGGCCGGCTTCGAGATCGGGGGCTTGGAAGCCAGCACCGTGGTCTTCGTGCTGGTTATCTTCGGTTTAGGGGTCGTCCTCTGAACCTTTCTCGTAGCGTTGACCTCCGAGTAGCGATCGGTAGCCACCTGGCCGATCTTCGAAGCATTCTCTCCTTCCACTTTCGACTCGATCGCGCTGGTGGTCGGAATCGATTTCCTCGTTGTGGATTCTTCCACCACGGTGGACATCACGGTCACCTTCTCCGTGGCTCTTTCGGTGGCGTCCACGAACGTGGTAGTCGGTTTCTGGGTGATCCTCGCCTCCTCGATTTCGGCGATCGGTTGCTTCGTCTTCTTCTCGATCGTTTTCACGGTGGTCGAGGGCGGGTTGAGGAGGATCCACGTGGATATGCCGCCCGTGGTCGTCGGGTGGTTCTTGTACGCCGTGATCAGGCGCGTCGAGCTCATCTCCTTCTCGAGCTCCTCCTCGGTTATGGCCATGGCTTGGCCCGGATGGCTGGTCTCGAAATAGCTGAACTTGGAGTTGACCGGTCTGCCGCCGAATCCGATCGGGGACCGATCGTTGCCCGACTCTTTGCTCGCCGCGGCCTCGCTCGTCGATTTTTCCATCATCGCTGCCTTCTTGATCGCGTTGTCGAGGATCTTGGCCGGCTGTTGTTCACCGCCGCCATTGGTCACGTTCAACAATTGGGTGGCAACCGTTCTCAACGACTGATCGATGTGCTGCAGATCTTTTATGTGGCGTTGCGTGTCGTTCGATCGGACACTGAAACGAAATTGCTCGGTTAAGTCGATCGAGTTGATGCGAGATGAGAGAGAAAGAGAGAAAAGAATGATTTCAAAGCGGAGGGATCCATGTTTCCTTACCTTTGCGTGAGCTCATGTGTTCTGCAAAACTTTTTGGAAAAAGTTATTTCGTTATAATTAACTCTTAATTTAACTTTGTAACATCAACTTCTTCCAGCTCTTGGAACGGGTTTTCGATCGTTTTGGATATTATCTCGGGAAAATTTTGGAACACCGATGCGTCAGGGATAATAAGAAAGACGTTCTGTCTCGTTAATGAGAACACGTGAAAGAAAACGTGGTTGAGAAAAAGAAAAAAAAATGCAAATTTGTTCGTTTGTTCGCATATTGGTTTATTTCAGGTTACATTTCACTGGCACAAGTACTAGCAGCAATGCCCTAAGAAATTCTCTGTGAAAAAGTGATTCGAACAAAAGTGGTGGTCGTGTTACATCTGTAATACTGTTCTGCGTTTCAACGAAATAAAAATACTTTCTCGTACTCACTCGTTAACGCGTTAGATTTAAAGCTATCGTTGGCGAGGTTATTTGCCCGAAGTCTAAACAAACGTTATTCTAACACCCGTTTCCCCTTAATAAATAATCGATGAACGATATATATATAAAATAAAATTTACGAATTAATTATTTAAAGCTTTTTAAAAAGAAGAATTAAAGCAACGATATTTTCATCCAACATCTCGAAAGATCTCGGCGAAAAAAGAGGAGAGAGAGAGAGAGAGAAAGATCTTCGTTTTCATCTCTTCCTCTTCTTCCTCTTGCTCTTCCATTCGTTCATCCTTCCGTACCTCTCCATAGACTGTCTAACCACCTCCTCGAAACCGGATAACCAATAACCGTTCTGGCTCGCGTTATCGTTGGCCCTGGCGAAACCGAAGGAGCTAGGGAACAGCCAAGGATAGAGAAACGTGACTACGCCGAGGATTCCAGCCGCGAGGGCGGTGAAGGGAGCAGCCGCCAAGCTGAAGAAGCCGTAATGCAATGGATTGAAGGCGAGATAGGCGAAGGCCGAGGCTATGGAATCCATGATACCGGTTGGGGACAAATCGTAATCCTCGTCCTCCTCCTCGTCCTCGATTGGACGAGCCGTGGCGGAAGAGGGCAGACCGCCGACTGGGGAAAGTAAGGAGGATCCCGTGGAAGAGTCCGAGTTGGCAAGTGGCGCCACGGCCGGACGAACGAGAGAATCGACGGGCGAAGGATCGTTCGCTTGGCCAACGTCAGTGCCAACTATCGTTGCAGAATCTGAACCGGTTTGAGAAGCTTGATCCGAATTCGTGATGCTGATCTGAGTGTCCTGCACCACTTCGAAATTGGAAACGTCGTTCTGTTGAGAGAGGATCTGGTCGGTCTCCTCTGGATCGTTTTGGGGAGTGGGGGGTCGGTAAGTAGGAACGGGTCGATAATAATCGTCGACAAGAGATCCTGTCCCGCTGACACCGTATTTATCCACCTGATCGTGATAATTCTGATAATATTCGGAATTGATCCGGTGGTCGGTGGTCGAAGGAGAAGGGGTGGATGACTTGTACACGTTCGAGTTGAACACGTGAGAATTGATGACGATGTTCAGATCCGTGCAACCCTCTTTGCTCTGTATCGTATTGTTGATCCTCGTGTACGAGTTTATTAGTATCGTGGGACAATTCTGGTCGTAAGTTACCATCGGAGTTTGAGGTTTCTGATTGGATAACGGATTCTTGCTCTCCTCGTAAGAAGTGAAGCCTATGTGAACCCTGTTTGGACCTCCTGGTTTGGAGGTGGTCGAAGAAGGATACGATTGTGAAAGAACAGTCGAGGGAGAAGGAGAAGCGAAAGTGTTGGAGGAGGAGATGGGTTGGACGTGTCCCGGAGGTATTCTCGACGGGTCTAGATTTACGAAATGAAGCACGGTGTTCTGGGACACGTGGGTTTGAGGATTGCGAACGAGAGAATTTTCGCTCTTGTTTCTCGGCGGATCGTTTTCTACGCGATTCGGAACGTTTTCCGTGGCGTGGCTCGGACGATGAAGAGGATAAATGAAACCCGGTCTCGGAATTTGCGGTTTGTTCGGGTTGGAAGGCTCGTTCGGCTCCAAATTTTGGTATACGGAATCGAAAGTGACGCTGACAGGATTATCGATTTGGTCGGCCTCCACCACGTGGCTACCATTCGTCACGAAGGCAGGGATCTTCAACCAATGGACTATTTCTTGGAGATTGGAGATCGGCCTCTGTGAAACAGGGTCAGCGTGATGATCGAAAGTGGAATTTCTCGATGGATTGTGCGCGATCTCAAGTTTGATCGGGTCAGTTTGTTCCATGGAGGAGGTGTACTTATCGTAATTGTGGAAATCCTCGGCGTTCTGAACGCCTGTGTTGGGCCAATTCTTCAAGCTCGAATCGAAGGAAGAATTATTCTTGTGGACGATCTTGTTCTGATTATTCTTCTTCTTCGAGTTTGATGGAAGATGAGGCGAGGATGGGCGACGAATTTTCGTCCTGTTGGACGTTCGTTTCGAGGTCCAGTGACGATCGACGGAATGATGGGCGTGAGGGGGGGGAATGGAGGATGGAACGGGGTTCTCAACGATGTTCTCATTCTCGTTGAAAGATAATTTGGAAACACCTCGAGCCAACAGCGAGTCGGTGATCTTTTTGATGGCGGCCACGTGATCGAACCGAGTCGTCGTCGACTCGACCTTGGCCAACAGAATGGGCGAGAACGCTTCCTTCCGATCCGAGAATCCCGAATATTGGCCCAAGGTCGCGCCATCATCCAATCGTGAATTATTCATCGGAATTCGGTGCGTCCTTCTCGCGAGGGAATTCCTCCTCGGATGCGAAATTCTCGAATTCAGAGGCGGGACGCGTTTGTAGATTGAATTTAATTTCTGGCCCGATCTTGTTCGAGTATCGTTCGACGATGGGAATACAAAATGGGGAAATCTGGTCAAATTATCGTTTAACCTCGTGATCGATCGCTCGTGAAGATTAATCCTCGAGTTTTGCGATCGAAATTTCGACGAGTTTCGAACGTTACTCGAGTCGACGAGTCGTTGCTCGTTGTTCCTTAATTTCGCCCCCACCTTTTTCCCGCGTCGACGAAACGATCGATATTGTCGCGGTAATGGTTAATAGTACTAGTTCCGGAATTCCACGTATACCTGCTATCTTCTCGAACGCCGGACGTTCTCCATTCCTCGAGGTTCGCCTTCGACGGACGAGCTTGAATCGAACTTTCTGAAATTTGAAGAAGAAAAAATCAATAAGATTCAAAAGAATAAGATATGCGTCGAAGAAAATACGTATTGTTCACTGGTGGAAACAGAGATGGAGATTCATTAACCCATCGAAAAAGTAACTGGTTAAAAATTTGGATTTAAGTTGATCCGCTCTTCGTATAACCTCGACTTCGTTCATTACAATTATTGTTATTACGTTTCGAACGATAAATTATCGAACTTAATTTTATTCGTAACTTTAACTATTAAATTTTCTCCATCATTGTGTTGTATTCAAATCTCGAGATACATACGATCCAAAATTATTCTAACGTGTCGATAATATATAAATTTTTCATAATGTATATTATGATACGATGGTTTAATTTATTATAAATTTCGTATTCGAGTAAAGCATACTATAGATAGTTTCGAAAATATTTCAGTTTTAAATGAAAATAATATTTACGATTTTGAATATCCAATGTCAAGACTACTTTTCACAGTACATCGTCCGTGTATTCGACTATCCTATTCTTTCCTAATAAAGATCGTTATATTTCTTATATAGCTGATCGCAACACGCTTAATTAACCAGAAAAATGAGATACCATGGAAGGACGGAAAAAGAGGGAAGTTTACGAAATGAAATTTTGCAACGAACAAGAAGGAATCGACGGAGGATCGTTCGTTCAGAAAATTTTTATCGTTTCCTGGCGCAATCCAGAGTTGTTAGGCTCGCGTAATCACGTGTTCCACGAACACGAAACCCTCGCGATTGACGTGACGAAACATCGACCGGCAAATAATTGGAGGAAAAATTGGCCAATTCGATCGGCCACAAAAGTGTGGAAACAACCGTTCGAACGTAATAAAATTCTGTTTCCAAAAGAAGAAGGCGGATTCCAAAGGTGGAGTTGAGAAAAGTTTCTGAAAGGAGGAAGAGATCGATCTAAACTTGAAAGGAATCGGAATTCGCGTCAATGGAAAAATCAGAGGCGAATAAAACTGCGTGCGATTTCGATCGATTAATGTGATTTACAACCGAATAAATACACGGTGGTTCCCTGACCATCGTTTTATCCCCATCCGGGAAGGATCCGCCTTTTCCTTTCCATTTTTCCCCGATAAAATATTCCAAGTTTTATCGAGCAAATCGAGCAAATCGGCGAGGAAACCTCGATTCTTACCGGTTCCCTGGGGCCTGGCCTCGCTCGATCCTGACACCAGCAGAACCACCACGATCTTCAACAGCTTCATCCGCATTTTTGCACTGAAAAAAAAAAGAAAAGAAAGAAAATCAAAACCTCGTCCAAATCTATACGTTTTCAAGGATATTCGTTTCACGCGAAGAATAATCGATATGCACGATACACCCTCCTCGTCATCGATGTATTCTTTCTCAAAGAATCACGAATTTTATAGCGATTTTATAGCAGCAGGAAGCGGTTTTAACGATCCGACGTGTTTGGAGGTTGGCCGAAAACGAAGGCGCGATAAATCGAGTGACGCAACGGCGAGCGAATGGCGCGATATTTTTCGAGAGAATGCTCGATTTGCCTGCGAAGGTCTCGATCGAGGTGATCGTTCGTATTCGATGGTTGGATCGTTCGTGGCGATGCATGAAAACGAGCAGCTTATGCGTTCTCGACCGAGCATGCTTTTGTTCCGTGTATTCTTTTTATCCTTTCTATTATTTTTCTCCTCCCTTCGAAAACAAGGAAACACATATATATCCTTGGACACATATGCATCCTATTGGAATTCTTTTTAACCTTAAAAAGAGAAGGAAAAATCTATCGAAAAGAAAAAACGAGACACCAAGAAATATCGTAAGGATCGTAAATTTTCTTTTTCCTTTCTTCCTTTTCCTTGCTTTATCGTTCTTTTTCATGTGGATATTCGTATAACGGTACACACGAGTGCGCCTATCTGTGGAAGCTTTGATTTGCATGAGAGGTGAATCGGGCATCGATGTCACGAGTCGTATTGTAAATCAGTCAGCGGAGGATATCGTTGCTCTCTTCGATTACGGCCGCGTGTGTACACGCGTACCGTTACGTCGAAATACTTTTCCCAACGTTCCATCGTCACGCTATTTTCCTTCCTTCCTTCCTTCCTTCCTCTGGCTTCGAATTTTCATCAGGTCGGTCATCTCGCCGTCTTATCATTCAATTAAAATTGATTTGATCCGTCGCGAGGATTTATTGTAATCGGTGCAAAATAAGAAGAAGAAGACAGAGCACGGGAAATTTGGAAATTTCTCTCCCTGTCAAATTCGATTCAACCAGCGTGAAAGCTATTATTAGAGAGAGACAAATTTGTTCTAACTCCTTATCGATAAACATAATATAAACACCCTTTCTTACCTTCTGAGTCTCAAAGTCCTGCTGGAAGCCGCATTTAATCACCAAACCAACGATCAACGAGCAAGAAAGAAAGAAGAAGAAAGAAGGAGAAAGAAAAAAGAAAACGAACACAACTAACTCTAACTAAAAAAAAAGAGAAAAAAAAACACTTTCTGTTCTTCTCGAATCGAAATAATGGGATGAAAAATGGGGGGAAAAGACGCGCGAGAGAGAAAGAGAGAGAGAGAGAAAGGAGAGAGAGAGAGAGTGCGTGCGCGTGCGCGTGTCCAGTGTCGTCCAGGAAGACGATGCGTTTCGACAATGGTGCACGGCTGACTGAATCCCACTGGCTCGAAGAGAGGCGAACAAGTGGGCCCGCGTGCACGCAGGTGATCGAAGCAAGGTGGTGGAGAGGCGCCTCGTGCACGAGTCATCGGGAACCCGTTACTCCGCGTTGCTTACGAACGAGATCCGCTCGGGTTGAATAACCTTCACCGCTGCGTGTATGCTAAAAGCGTGCTCGTGACTACCTTGGCCGATCACCTCGGGAACTGGGTGAATCTGCATCTCTGATTCGCCCACTACGCGCACGCGCCGTGCGATTCCACATGGCGTGGATGACGTAACGACGGGCCAAGGCGAAAAAGAAAAAAATAAAATCCTCTGCCGAAAAGTGTGATCGGTGAAATTCCTTTGTCCGTGATCGACGGCACGTGATTCGATGCACGAGGACAAAGTGAGTTTTGGAAATAAGTGGAAGGGAATGAGAATACGTTCTACAGGATGATAAAAGTGTAGTGAGAAATCACGAGATGTTCTGTAATTAGGTTTATATTTTACGGTGAAATATAGTAAGGAAAATGTTTTCTTCTTTCTTCTTCTTGTTTCGAAGGAAGAAGGGGGAAATCTGGAAGAAGGAAATCGATAGGGGATAATTTCGTTATAACGAGAATAGATTGCCAAAGTGCTATAAAACCGGTGGGATCGAGCAGGAAGTACAGGTGAAAAATTTCTGGAACGAGATCTCCATGAATAAAATATTCGTGGGTTCGACGAACGAATTCGATCTGAAATTTTCACCGTTGAATTAAGATAAAACGAACTTTTTGTTATTCCGTTCGTATAACTTTCAATTTATCTCGCGCGTTGCTCGATAATCGGCGATGAAAGTTCATTTTTCAGGGGAAAGGATACGAAATGAAAGTGTTCGTTTGTAAGAAAAAAAAAATTTGTACGCAGAGAAGAGAATCCAATATCGAATTCTTACGTTGTGAGAAATTTTTGAAGAAAGGTCGACGAAAAAGAGAGTGTAAGTGTTTGGAGCGTCTCAAGGTCAAAAAAAATGAAGATCACTCGAAGGTCAGGGTCGCTCAAAGATCGGTGTGCAGAGTCAAGATTATTTTCAAGGTGAGAACTCGCCACATCATTGGCAACAATGCTCTTCCAAATATCGTGTTGTTTATTTTTTAAAAATCGAATTTTTTTTTCGACGAATTTTCAAATTCTTTAATTCGAAGAATGACAGTTTAAAGAATACCTAATAATATTTTGTTAGAAACGGAATATTCAATTGCTCGTTATCGTGAAACAGGTTCTTTAGAGAGAATGATGGATGGTACAACATTTTTGACATTGTTTTTAGAATTCGGTTAACGGTTCGTTTCCTAATTCTACTTTTAGCTTTTCTTACGAAAAAACTTTAATAACGAAAATCTGCTTTCTCGAGATTCATTATATAATGTTCTTATCGTTATATACTCACATTTTTAAATTTGAAAAATTTCGAGTACGAATAAAACACGTTTGAACGATCATAATGATTTAAATTTCAATTCGTTCTGGAACAACGAGAGTTTTAAACGAATTTGATGGTATCCGAGAAAAGGAATGTATTTTTCCTTGGAAAAAGAAAAAAAAAAGAAAAAAAAAGAAGAAAGAAAGATTAATCGATTAGTTACGCGCGGATAACAGTAGTTTTACGATTCCACGACATTCCACGATCCCCAAGAAACCGATTCAAACGTTTTCTCGGAAAATAGAAAAAAGACGAGATTCGATTATTTCGAAGTTGAAAGGAACTCGAAGCTCGACGACGAAACTTTCGAATAAATTTTCAACGCGATTAACCCCGCTCTATCTCCCTCCTTTACCTCTTTCTTATTCCTTCTTACAATAATTACAGCCACGCGCGATGCATCTCTTGGCCCAGAAAACGAGAGAAAAATGAATCACGATACGCATACCGACGCGCTTTTGTGATCCTGGCAACCGAACCGGTTCCAAGGGAGGTGAGGAACGTGTTCATCGAAGATAAACATGGTCGAACACGTATGCGATCTTTTTTCTTTTTTTTTTTTTTTTTTAACCTATCAAACAGATTTAACGCGTTGATCCAAGTTGGTTCGTTAATGGTTCCGAGATATACAAGAAACGCGCAAGAAACGCGACAACAGCTCCACGCGTGGATATATTTCGAACAATTTAAGCATGGATGGAACAACTTATACCTTGTTCATCTTAAGGAAAATTTATGTCGAAGATATATAGCGCGTATATATGTAGGATATATATACGGGTAAGAAGGTATTCGTTGTATAAATAAAGCGGAGAAAACTTGTCCCGGACGACAAACGAGCACGAGTAGAATCGTTGAGGTAAAACGAAGAACGCGTGAACACGAACGACAACATAGTGTGGAGAGGGCGGAGGAAAAAACGTATTTCCTGCACGAGCGCCATCGAGCGGATCGAGAGACGACGCTCGATTACTTCCTTTTACGGCTTAATGTATGGTGAGGGGGGAAGGATGTATTAAAAAATTATCGTGGAAACGAATTGGAGAAGAAGTTGAACTTGTTCGTTCGAGGTAAAAAATTGGGTGGAGAGATCGGGTGAAATTTGTATTCCATTTGTTGTATTATAATTACTTCAATAAACGATCGATTTCTCCTTTCCTCGATTTTGAAATATATTCTCACGGAATAACGATCTCGAATGAACGAAAAAAAAAAAAGAAGTTTATGTTTTCAAAAGGATATCTTTCTTGAAATCAGATGAGAGGAGAATGTAGCATAAAACATCGTCATTACCACGTTTAAAAAATCGACATCTTCTTCGAATGATAAAAAAAAAAAGGATAGGAGATAAGTGTAATTACCATTACCTAACGAGTAGAGCGAGTCGAGAATCTATACGAATTCATCTTTTTCACGAGATAGGAGTTAGTAGAAAAACGTAAATATATATCTTTTCGCTAATCAATTTTAACTCGTCCCGTTCGAAGAAAAAGTAACATTTCACGAAACCCGTTTTCAACGTGCACATTTTATTTCCCTTTTTAACTACTATTTTTAAACGTTTGATCGAAAAACAAGTTGCTCGAATAATCTTTTGACACATATCTCTTTTATAAAGAGATGGAAGTCGTATTCAGGCCATGAAGATGGGCTTTGAAGATGCGACGAGAGTTTTGATTGGCGAACGACGCGAGAAACACGGATAGGCGAAGGGTGAAGGAAAAGAAGATTCTCAGGAACCACCTCCCGGAAGGTGTGCACGCGATATAATAAGAGAACGTGGTCACACCGACCCAGAATCATAGTAGGCAGCTCGATGTGGGACATAGCGGCACTTCTTACGGCCATAGATACCTTTCCCATCTGTTGGCAAACGACACAAAGCTTGTCGACCTCGCTTCGTTTCGACGCGTGCCCCTTTGAGCATCGCGATCGAGGGAAGAAAGAAAGAAGCAAAGAAAGAAGAAATGGAAGGAATAATTAATGCCGGGGAGAACAATCGCGATAACAGGTTATGTATCAACAACCTTGAAATTATGATCGTGAAAAAAGTTCAAGCACTGTGAACAACGGCCTTCTTTATGATGCATATCTTTCCAAGAAGACGAATATTTGATATTGGAAACCTATATATTCTTTCTCTTTGACTGAACGATTGGTCAATTCGGAATAGTTGAAGTTACGAATAAAGTTACTTCGATGATTTATCGTTCGAAACGTAATAACGCAATAACTGGAAATAATTGTAACGGCAAACGATTGAGGTTATACGAAAAGCGGATCAACTATGATGATCAAAGTAACTTTATTCGAAATTTTTGACCAGTTATTTTTTCCAACTCTGGTCGGATACACACTAGATAATAACTAGAAAATCACTAATCATCGACAGATGTGTAGGCGTCACGTCGCGTTGATGAAACGTTCGAGATAGAAAAACACGAGGAAATGTATTCTTCTCTCTTCCAACGTACAAAAAGTTATTAAGTATCAACAGGTTGGAAGAATAAACTATTGGCGAGATGCTCGATTATTAAAAACGAATTAAAATTTTCCTCGTGTCCTCGGCCCGTAACAATTCTCCGCGAGTTGCGTCACCGACTCGTAATAAATAATTAAGAGCAACGTTCGTGGACGGTTGAACGGGAGTGCTTCCGCAACGGTGCACCGTTACCGATCGAAAACATTTTTTTAACGAGAGCACGGTCGATATCCACCACTCGATCTCGATAAATAGTTTTGGTTTGCATGTCGAGCTGCGTTCTCGTTCTCCATCTCGCGGAAATTGAGGAAACGGAGACGGCCGTCCTCAAGAGAAGAGAAATGGATAATGAAAGAATGCACGCGTTAATTAATTAAAATGTTTTGAGCTCGTGGTAGAGGGAGCCTCGAGCTGCGAAAATTCTCGTTCGACCAGATAAACGGGATATACGCATCCGGAATCACGCATATCTTATTCCTTTTCTCCCTTTACTCTTTTATCAATTAGATACGCTATACGGATGTAAATTACGATAAATTTATATGAAAATGCGATAAGCGTGGTTGAACATGAACGAACGGATGAAAATCGAACGAGGTAACGTTATCTGTTATTATATACACGAGATATAATATTAATTCGTTATTTTAATATTTTTTATTTATCGCACAGGGTGTTAAGATTAAGAAAAACTGGAAAAACCGGCCGTTTATAAGGATGCGAACCCGGACGGGGTCGTCGGTCGTGAAGAGAACGAAAGTTTTCAAGGAAACGGGAGGGAACGATAACCTCGAAGAAAGAAAAAGTAAACTCTGAATTTCTTGGAACTGCTACTAATTGCTCCGCTCTCGTGATAATTGACGAACACGCGAAAAGTGAAGATACGCGTGCTCTCGCCTCATTTTTCTCCACCAGTTTATCCGCGCGAAAGGAATCTCATTTTTATCGACCGAGTATTACGTGAAATATAGGTTAAGTCGATTAAGAAGAAGAAGAAGAAGAAAAAAAAAAGAAAAGGAAGAAAGAAAAATCGATAACTTTAATAATCGATGAGCGGAAAGTAGTGGGTAACCGGTGTTACGAAAACGGTGTCGGTCGAACGAGTAAATTGTTACATCAAGAGGAAGCATTTTATTTGCCGCTCGCGAAAGTGTGCGCGTTAATTATACCATCGTTAATTACACGGCGTGTAAAAGGAAAAAAAAAAAAATAGAAAATGTTTGTAAACAACGCCAACAACGTGGCATCATTCATTCGACGATTTCCTTCATGAAATTCTGATTACCCTCGCCATAATGCTCACCACGCATTGTATTCCACTCGCTTATAAAATCAAATCTATCGCGAATTTTCGTTATTAAGTATCGTCCCTCAACTCCGTTAAATGTCATTCTCTTTTCAAAGCATCTCATTGTGCATCGATTGTTTGAAAGAAAGTTCCTTTAATCCCCTTCAAAATATAAAAATCCAACGAAACGGGATTACTTCCAGGATACTTACCTACTTTGGAGTAGGATTCTCTTCTGAATAGGGTTTGGAGGAGCGTCGGCTCGTTTCGTTTCTTTAGATTGGATCGTTCGCTTCGACAATGCTGGCACTGGCATCGTCTCGATCGACAAGTTTACGAGTGGCTTCCGTTCTGAAACGTGACATCGATTCACGATTAAGGTATACACGATTGGTCGCGGATCAATTTATTTGAAACGCGCGTGAAACGATCGAATTTAATCCTACTCGTCGAATCCACGCTATTTGAAGAAAGTACAGGGAAAGATTTATGTTATGTACGTATCGAGACATGATTTTTTTTTATATTTTGTTTTAACGAAAAAAAAAAAAATTAACGATTCCACGTTTGCTTCGAGACTCGAATTGGCTTTCCTTTTCCATCGATAAGATTCGTTAGACTTTCTGCTCGATAATTCATCGATTTATGCGCGTAATAAAATTAAGCGGCTTGTCTATCTATGTATTCTATCGCCATTAATTTTTGACGCAACTTTGACGCAACTAATAAATAAATTTTCAAATGTTCATCGAATCCTTACTCACCTTCTTTCAAAGTTTCTTCTTCTTCGTTTTAAAGAAATATCGTACGACTTAATCGTTGCTTTTCGTTTCCTTTTACCAAAAAATTGAGCGATAAAATCTTCAACTTCTTCTTTCCAAGATCCTCTTCGAAATTTCTTCTTTCAAGGATGCTCGTTTAAAAAAAGAAAAAAAAAAAATACCTCCACATCGAGTTCAAAAACACGCCTCAACTTTCTACAATCTTCTTCATCTCATAACGCAGAAGTCTCCTCCCCAAGTGCTCTGCTAATTCCGTTTCATCTCTAAACGGATATGCAACTTCCTCAAAAGATCTTAACGATTTCACGGTTCATAAGCCTCGAAACGATTCGCCACCCTTTTTGCACCTCGAGTCGTTGCTTTCTCCGCTCTTCGAATCGTTGCCTTTTTCCCTCGATCGCTTCTTCTATCCACGATTCATTCAATCGTCGATTCGACTTTTTCCTGAGTTTGGAAGAATTAAGAAAAAAAAATCGCTTGAAATCAATCACCTTCCCAATTACATTCCTCCTTTTTCGAGAAGAATCGAAATGTCTCGGATGGAAGAAAGTTTATCTGTTATTTGTACGTGTAAAAATGGTAACGTTAGCTTTGCTCCGTTTCTTCGTCTCTTAATAAATCCTGTGCGTGCGTGTTGTGCATCGATCCGGCCGAGGATCATCGTGATCTTGCAGCGGAGAACTCGTTTTTAGATGGACAAAACGCTAATCGACGAAAGGAAATAAATAAATATCCGTCTCGTGTCATTGCGTGTTTGTTGCATGTTGGACGCGTTCGTGCTCCAGTAAAATCGCAGGAAATGTTCAATTTGAGAAAAGGCCGAGAAAGAGATACATTCCCTGACCAGAACAGAACACTTCTTTTTCCACCGTCCACTGCTCCTCCATTTGCTTTCCTCGAGAAAAAGTTCAAACGTCCTCCTCCTTCTTCTTTAATAGCAATTCTTCCGTTAATTGTCTCGACAATTAGAGTGAAAATAATGAACGCCCGTGATCCCTCCGCTCACCTGATCGGAGACAGAATAACAGCGAATCTATTAGAGACGGCCTTCCTTCATTAGTTTCTCTCAGCAATCAATGTTCTTTTACGAGTTAGGTTTCTCTCACCTGTTCGGTCAGACGCGTTCAACACGATTTTATCGCGCTAAAAACTATTCTCCGTTCCATTGTCCAATTTACCAAACAATTATGCTTATTATATCTTACAATTTCTTCTCGATTCCAACTTAAGATCCTCGCTCTTTTCCCCTTATATTCAAAACGATGCAATCGCGGTAACTTCGATCGACATCATCTCGTCTTCTTCTTCTTAGAAAAATTTCTTCCTTGTTCCTCTATCAAACATCTTCAGAATTTTCAAACTTTTATTCTCCTTCCCTTTGTTAATTAATTAATTCCTCCTCCTCCTCTTCTTCAACTTGTTCCTTTCCTCCAAATTCCACCACCCTCTACCAACCCCTTTCTCTCTCGCTCACCTACGCTCCACCAATCTCTGGCCGCGATAGACGAGTGTCGAAATTGCACTGAGGCTGGATGGTGTTCTACCGCCCCCGATGTAGCTTCTCCTTTCCGCGCTTACAGCTCGAGCCATTTAATAGTGGGGACTCCCTTCTTTCGCTGGAACAACCTCCTCGTGTCCTTGCCTCGTGCGCGCCTCCATCCCAGATATCCTCGTCGATCCTAATCTCTCTTCCTCTTCCTCCTCTTCCTTCCTTCGTTCTTCCCTTCCTCGTTCGTTCCCACGATTCTCTCGTTTACACCGGTAACACCGTTCTCGCGGCTTCGAAAGTGGAGATTCGTGTCAATATTCCTTCCATGCTTCGACACTCGCCTCGAACGGATTCGAGATCGCGAATTTAAACGCGTTTCCCTCGCGTTGTACACTTAATCGACTCCTAATTGCGAAACAAAAGTTGGGTAAAAAATCGATCGTCGCTGTTATTCTTTTCACTTGTTTTTAACGTTTGATATATATATATACTCTTTGTGTGTAAGTTTATTTCTGATCTGGTTTCGACGCGCGCTCCTTCGGTGATTTCGATGCGCGCATCGAAGGAGACGATAACGTGAACTCCTTCCATTTTGCGAAAGAGAGAAATATCGTGATATGGTAGATGAAGTTATTAATTCAAGGGATCAATTTATGGAGGAAGAAGAAAAGATACTTTGGATTTGATCACTGTTATTTCCCTACAATTTTACGAGTTGCAAATTTCATTTCGGTCAAATCTCACGTAAACGATTCCATTATAAATTGTATTGCGTGAATCGATCGTTATCTCCTTTGTTTACAACCAGCCAAACAACGTGTAATTACGTGTTATGAACAAGTTGCATCCGATATAAGACCATCGGCCGCGAATTAAATTTACTTTACTGTATCGATCATTATATGTATAATTTTATTTAGATAAGATCCGTGCAATTACTTTCGACCACTCGCTCCCGGATAATTATTTTCACTCGTTAATTGCATCCGTGATATGAGAAGATGAAGGATTAAAAAATAATCCACCCGCGTTCCAATCCTCCCTTTTTGCATCTCTTATCCGATATATATGATCGCAAGATCGTTCTTCTTTCACCCTCAATTTTCAATGAAAATTCTTCCCCTCGATCTTATCTTCGCGTCGCTCGTTCGACGAGTCGCATTTTTTTTTTCTTTTTTCTTTTAGAGAGAACGACGGTAAAAATGGAGCTACGTACGCGTACGCCGTGGCCGTAATTAGGGAAACAATTATTATTACGGTACATTTGCGTACACGTGCGTAGCCCTACATTTCTTCTAAACGCGCTCGTAATGTTGCAACCCGATACGTTTGAATTTTTATATTATACGTCGATGATCCTCTTGGAACGCCTCTATCCTCGATATTGAAGTTTAAACATCGAGAAAGATCGATTCGGTTTTATGAAAATTATCTTCCAAGTACACGTTTCGTGTGTCTAATTTTGATCTACCTAGTCGTCGACTATTTTTATAGATGGCTTTTAATATCCTCGATATTAAAGTTTGAAAAAGAATCGAAAAAGATTTAATTTT